GGTTGTTTCTTACATTGTTGCCAAGAATAAAGGCAGAATTCCCAGCAAGTGTTCACCTGCTGTGCTTTTTCAAAACCCCCAGTCCTCAGCTACCTACCTTTTTCCATCTACTTTGCAAAACTTCTGCCTTCTAGTGTAAGCTAGCTAGGGATGATCTTACTGAGGGCAGCAGAAAGGGTTTCTGACCTGCATCCTTAGTTCGGCTACATTAGATGTTCTTACCTAAGGGGCATGTGTGAATGTCCTATTTACTAACTCAAATTCCTCCTATTGGGTTCTTCTAGATTCCACTTTTTTCTTCTTCTAGAGGTTTCAGTGGGCAACAAAAGTGAACAATAAATAGAGTTAGGGAAGCGAAGGCTACATCTGGAAGCATTGGGTTTTTTTCATGGACCCAGAGATTCTTTTTAACCACTTGGGTACGGTGCTCACCGGCCATGACACTCTTGCCCACAGCTGGCACTCAAAGTCCGCACAATAGTTTGTGCTGTGCATTGACGACGGATCCGTTTTGCTCTTGTGTGATGAGGAAAGCTTGAGAGCACTGAAAGCTTGTTTTACTTTACAGGCAGGTTTACTTGTAATGTAAATCAGAATAGGTAACATATACATATATGTTTTCATTACGTTATTTTTAAATGTTCACAATTTTATTTTGATAAATGAAAAATTAGAAAAGTCATATCACGGCTGTCGGCTAAAGTCGATGCTCGGCTGTGCGCGTTCATCTGTGGCTGTCGACTATAGTCAACGCTCATACCAAAGTGGTTAAGAGTAGGGGTGATCTGGGAGTTGCTGTTGCCAGTTAAGGACAAATCCAGCTGGAGAACTCTTAGATGCCACCCCAGTGATACTCTAGAGACAAAATCCTACTCACTTTCCTTAAAATGGCACGAGGCCTGAGCACAGTGTTGCTGCCACCCTATGTCTAAGCATGGAGGCAATGTTTTCTTACCATCAAGGCCCACTTGTGACACGAATAAAGTGCACTGTGGCCCTTCCCCACTTCCCTTCCACTCATGCCCCGTTCCTTCCTGCAACACCCCTTGTGCGTTTCTGTTCCTCGTAGTAACTCACGGCTCACACTCAAATTAGCATCTTAATCCTTGAAACGCACATTTACATCTCACATCATCACGCTTTGCCGGCAGCAGGACAGGGAACACCTGTGCACACCTTCCCAGGGGCTGAACCGCTCGTCACTGAACAACCATTCAATTTAGGCTTTCTAGCTGCATACCTGAGCCACCCCTTCTCAAGAGCACAGCCACGGATGGCATCTCTCTGCAAGTGAGCGGTTATCTTGGTTCAAACCTCGAGGAGGAAATAAGTGGCCCCTTCAGTGCAAGTAATTCTATTCTGTTTCAAGGCTTTGGGAAGCACCCAGAGCACTCACTGGCTGTGTAAATTTGGGAAGGTCACTTAACCTTTCTGAGCCCAAATTCTGACGTATAACATGGCAGTGATATAATCTAGCTACATGATTGTCTCGAAAATTTAACTCATCATAGTAAATGAAAGTACTTTCCAAACTATGAAGCACTGTCTTACTTTTGACCCAAGTCACCATGACCGTTCTCCGCCTGTGCACACTCTGTCCAGCTTCCGAGTCTTCCCGGCACTGCTTGTCAACATATAAGAACAGAACAGAAAAATGCAGGATTCTTGACTACTCCTTTGTCGTATTATTAATTATTTATTCAGGAAGTTTCAAGACACTGGTTCTGTCACAGCATTCTCTTCCCTCTAGGAAATTCAGTTTGATGGAATTTTGTTTTGTGTTTCTTTTTCAAAATTGCAAATTTTTAAATTTTCAGAATGTATTTCTTTCTGTGCATGTCTTTTTTTTTCATAGCTGTTGTTACTGTAGTTAAATTTCACATTTAACATTGCCCTGTGTAGTGTATAATAACCAGACTTAGAGGAAACAATCATAAAAGACATAAATACAAGAAAAGAAAGTAAAATCTTTAATCTTCCTTGCCTGGGGTCAGAGTATTACCCCAACAAGCATCATTTTATCTGCAAACATTCTTTGTAGTTCAAATATGTCCTTGAACCTCCCTGATTTTATTCTTGTTTTTTTTTTTTCATTTTTTATGTCTATATTTCACTATGCTTTATGCAATGAGCCATTTAGAAGCATGGTATTTTCACATTTTTTTTAACTTTCACTTTTATATTATTGCGTAGGTGGCTTTGGCATTTATTAGACCAGAGTTACGTTCTCATACACCCCTCTTGCTTTTCTTTGCATCCTGTACATAATCTGAACGTATTTTATTTTCCATCATCTTTTGCTTGCAGATGCCAAATTAGTTTACGTAACTTGAAGGAGGTCCGCTTAGGTTTATGCCTTTCCAGTCAATCTGCTGTTACGGGAAAGAAATGTCCAAGCAATGGGAACTCGCTGCCCTAAAGAAACGAAGACACATTGGGGACCGTGGCTTATTAGTAGGTTAGGGTCTGCTGCGCTTACCCGTCTGCCAATATCTATCTGCCAATATTCCCCAGTCTTCCCTGCTTCTAAATGCTGATTTAGATAAATGCTTTTCTAACCAAAATGAAACAGTATAATATTTAAGTCAACCATGAAAATAAGCACTGACATATGTGTCCCCACCTGAGAGAAATCAGGATAGGCTTGATTCGAATCAGGCAGGAGGCCAGATGCAATCAGTTCCCAAAGTCTGTAACTCTACCCAAAGGAGAGATCAGGCTTCCAGGATCCTGCAGAATGCAGTCTTGGGAGGTCAGAATCGTGCTGGGTGCCCAGATCTTCAATGAAATGTAATTCTGCGCAAGAGGAGGGAGGGAGGGGGAAATGACAAAACCAGGTCTTCTAACAGTTTCCATTAAGGGCACGAGGCAGGGGTACTTTCCAGGCCTCACTCACACACACCACCTCTACCTCCCGGAGCCACATCACGGGCCCGGAGCACCCTGGATTTACATGCAAGGCAGGACACATGCTGGACTGTTGGAACAGACCCGGAGCAATTCAATGGCCCAAGGAGGACTTGCTGTCCCAACTGGCCCATCATGGAAGCCATAGGTGTGGTTCTTGAGATCACAGAATTGGTATTTGGTACTCCCGGGAATGGTCAAGCTATCACTTCAACACTACAGCTATATTTCCCTTTAAGTAAACCTGATGTATATGTTTACAATCTGGCTTACACCAAAGGTGACTTGGAAGGGTCCATCTTCCCACCTCTTTCACAAGATAGGCTCTCCACCTTCTCTAGGGTGGCAAGTTATTCCAAACTTCCTAGATCCTCAGCTCCAGGCAGTCCATTCTCTACATCGTCCTTCAGAAGTATCAAACTGTGCTATCACCTGGGTGTTTCTCCAGCCTGGAGTGGCGTCTCTTCCCGCATCTCACTCTCCCAGATTCTCTCTGTTCACATCCTACATCCACCGCGAATGGTGCGTTGGCCTCTCCATCCCACAGGGGCCCCGCCCCCGACTCTTCCAGACCTTCTGGTCACTTTCTCGCTGTTGACCATTTAGTCACTTAGCAGCTACGTATCACACATCTGCGGTTAGCAGGAGTCTGTGACATGTTCCTCTGAACCTGATTGTTTCTTACAAGTTAATATTATTTCCCCAAATAGACTGCAAGCACCTTGAAGGCAGGACTGTGTCTTTTTTAAAAATCAGATTACCTGGCATATTACCAGGACATAGCTGGCACTCAATACATTTTAAAAACAATGATTTTTAACTTTACAAAAATAGTTACTGGCTGACTTTCTTACAGAGAAAGTTCTCCAGGTGCCCTCAATATATGGTTCAACATATGTGTATTTTTCAAGAACATTATTTGTGGTGTGAAGTCGGGTATGTTGTATGTCGCTTTACAGAGCCAGTAGATTTTTAAAAATAGGGACTAGTTTAATTGTCGCAAACAGCAGTTATTACCTTTGGAAATCTTGACTAATTCTAGGTAGAAGAGGCAGGAAAACATAGCAACCAAGGCTGACAGGTGGAACATTGATCCTTATATCTATTCATTCATGGGCTTGTTAGAAAGCTTTTAAACTGAGATTTAGGCCAAGCAGGAAGTGAATTTGTTTTTTAGCTATAATTTTCTGCTTATCATTCTTTGGTTCAACTAAGTTGCTTCCCACTGCAGAAACTGCTCCGTGTCCGATGGACATGCAAGAACAAATTTCACATGCTCAGTACTAACACAGCTTCTCCCACCAACTCTCACCTTTCCCATGGCAAGGGAATCTTAGAAGACGCCTTCGTTGCCTGAGTGCCTTACTTGTCCTTGAGGTATCACTGTGTCTCATCACCACACTGTACAGTGCACAGTCACCTGCCGTACTCACTCCAGTTTGGGGCTCTGCCTGTGCTCAGCAGGCGAAAAATTCAGACTCAGACTTTTGACTCTGCAATATGGAGAAGCAGGTCCTATCATTAAATTTAAAAAAAGAACTGTAGACACCTGAACCTAAGATGCCTAGGCAGGTTGGTGGAGGTCTGAAGTAGCAAGTGAAACTACACCAGTAACGGTGTTGGTCATGGATGAAAGGGAGACTGCAAACAATTTCGTGTTCTGTTCTTAACTCCAGTCAAGCACTTACCAAAAGAATTAAACTGGTTGAGCTTTAAAAATCAAATTCAAATCTTGAAGAGCACGAGTGTATTTCCTGAGCAGTATGGAAAGGAAGAGAGAGAAAAGTACTTACAAATGATCTCCACTCCCACGACACCCCCTTGGGGTGTCTCGCTCACCGCCTTTAAAAGTAATGTCCGATTATGTGCTACATTCTGGTCCTCCCTAAATTTTATGATGTCGGTGTCCCCAAGAAGCGACTTTATTTCTCCCAGTGCCTCCCAACCTCTTTCAATGCCAAAGAGCGTCAGGGGGAGAGGGCAAGCTTTTTCTGGAGGAGGCCCTTCTTGGCTTGTACAGGATGGGCTGTCAAGACCCAGCCAGACGGTGTGTCATGTTGATTTCACTCTCCGTTCACTTTCTCTCCTTGTAGCTACCTCATCCCTGAACTCCCAACTCCAGCAGCTCCAGCTCCAGCTCCAGCAGCAGCAGCAGCAGCAGCAGCAGCAGCAGCAGCAGCCTGCACCGCCACCCAGCCAGCACCCGCAGCCAGCCCCGCAGGCGCCCTCGCAGCCCCAGCCGCCGCCACCGCAGCCCACCCCACCCCAGCAGCCGCCACCACCTGCCTCCCAGCAGCTGCCAGCTCCTCCATCTCAGCTGCAGCAGGCCCCGCCGCCCCAGCAGCATCCACCGCACTCCCACCCCCAGAACCAGAACCAACCGTCTCCAACCCAGCAGAGCGCAAGCCCCCCGCAGAAACCCAGTCAGTCTCCAGGACATGGCCTTCCTTCGCCGCTCACGCCACCCAATCCTCTCCAGGTAGGCTCCCCGTCCGCCCCCAGGGGCACAGAGGACCCTTGCGTGGGGTTGCGCTGTCCCCAGGGGCAGAGGACCAGCAAAACTTAACCGTCCAGCGCTGCAGAGTCTAATTCAAATTGATCTCTTAGACGTAGGGAAGAGGAAGCAAATAGCAGGCAACTGGGGATACATGTAAACGAAACAAATAGAAGCCCATTGATGTTGCCCTCCAAAGGATAAATGTTATCTGTTTCCTCCTGTGAGAGGCCAGCACTATAAGTGCACTTGTAGCCTGTAATAATTCCATTTTATGATACTTTTTGAAGGCAGCAAAGATAGCATCCAATTAAAATTATTACTAGCACAGTTTTGTAGCCCCGTGGAGAACTGCATCTACTGTCCATGAGGCATGGTGGTTATTTCTCTATATTATGAATACAACAGTGTCTTACCTTAAGTACTTTGTGCTCTTTTGTTTCTATTTTTCTAAAGACTCTCTGGGGTTAGGAGGGCAAAGAAATTTAGCCCCAGTCTTATGTCCCAGATTCCAACCATTACTCCGCAGTCTAACAAGTACTCTAAATTCATGCCGAGAGCCTCAACAAATATGCATCTTTATAAAATAATAACACATCTCTATATTTACTTTATTAGTGGGAGGCTGAGGGGCATCAAAAATAGATATTTCAGGCTAATCATGAAAGCTTATCTTTAACCTACCTATTGAGCAGGAAGGATGGGAGCATTTAGGAATATATAACTTTAAACTTCAGAAAATCATTTTTAGCTTAGGTGCCTTCAAAATAAATTAGCGTCAAAACATAATGACTGTGATGTCAACATATCAGATCTAGAAATTAATAGCTCAGTTGAACCATCCATTCTTTGACTTGCATACAGATGTTTTCCCCTGTGAGATTTCAGATGACTTAGTGTATTGGGAGCACTGTGACAACATCAAACAGAGTGAGCAGCGTATGCACCCCTTTTCAAATGCCAACTCACCCCCTTTCTTGGTGGTGGACAGGCACCCCTACCTGAGGGTGATAATTGCAATGGCATCCTTGGCTCCTAAATAGCAAAGGATACAAAATAGAGACAGATGGATACACAGTCATAAAGGCAGGTAGATTAGGGTCTTAGTATTTTAGAACTGATGTAGTTTCTTGTCCTATAGCCTTATCTCTGAACTTGGATTCTCCGCAGTGGCTCAAAGTTTTCCTAGAAATGAAAACATTTGGGTGAGATGAGTAATTATGTTTAATTAAGTATCCCTGGGCAGTTGGGCCAGGGATACTTTCAATCTGAACCCTTTCCTGAGTTGGGTTTGAAGATGTATTTTCACAAGTCTTACCTGGGTGAGACAACACAACACCTTTGACACAGGACTGAAATGAACATGGGCTTAAAAGGCCTTCACTGTACACTTGACATCTATAGAGACAGTATATGTTTATCAAATTTACAAGATGCATGATTACAGAAACCCTAATGTTTTCAGCACTTGGAATCCAACTCTATTGTTCCAAAGAAAGAGTTCAATGCTTTTTAAGAATAGATAGATTAGATGTACCTACACACCGTGTGATTAAACACTTCCTCTATTCTAGGCACCAAAATAGGTAAAATTACCAAAGGAAAAAATTGCCCTGTTCTCAGGGATAAACTCACTTTGCTGTGCTCCTGATTGTTGACTATATTCCAGTATTTCTTCCTGGTAAGTGAACGCTTTGGGCTCTGTGGCCATCAGCCTTCTCTGAACACCTCAGACAGCTCTGCCGGCCAGGGAAATCCCAGTGTAGACAGGCCCAGTTGAATGACTGTTGACAGAACTTTAGATCAGGTGACCATTCAGCCTCATGGAAATAAATTCTTAGGAGAATTTCCAAAACCTCTCCTAACAGTTTCCCATGGAAATCCGGGGACTGTTTTGTTTTTGCAACAAATGAAGGCTCAGAGCCACATGGCTTTCTTTATAACCCTAGGAGAATATTCCAATTTTTCACTGTTGGGGTTTTAGCTTACAAACTTAATAGATACATTAAGAATACATTTAAATATAGATAGAGTAGATTCTACTCTAACTCCTTCTGTGGATCTAGGGGTGAACACTAAAGGACTTGGTACAAATTTTTGAAACATTACTAAGCAGATACAGAACTAATTTTGAATAAATCATGTCAGTAGGAATAAAAGGACTTCTTTCCTTTGCTATAGGCATATGTAAAGAAAATGGAGAATTTTATAGTTTAATTTTTTTTTCTACACTGGCTGCAGGGTTTTTGAGTTTGTAGAACATGGAATGTTTGAACTTTTTAAAAAAGAAAACTATTTAAAAGGAACTACAAAGATATTTAACTCTCAAAGGTGATGATCTTTATAAAATGTTTTTGTTTGAAGATTATTAAGGGAATAAAAATCAACTAAATTCATATATGACAGCTTAAATTTTATTTTACAATTCTTCATTTTCATATGGGCTCTATCTTTTTACATTATTCAAAATCTGTCTGAGAGATATTAGTTTAGAACTATGCAATGTAGATTGTCAGGGGAAACCAGTAAATCGGAAGGTGCTTTGCTTAAAAAAACAAAACTTGGGAAGATAATTATTTCTAAAACTGTACAGATGCTGTCTTGTCTTTAGAAAAAATAAATAAATGAAAGTAGGTTGTGTAGGCATATTTGGGTGAGCACATTTCTCAAGATGAAAAAAAAATTAATAGTGCTGATGGGTATAAACGCTCTAGACAAAAATTCTCCAAATAGCTCTTATCGGGTTTTTCTGTAATAGTACACAGTATAATTTTATTTCAGTCTTTTACTCAATTCCATAAAATGCATTGCATTTACAAAACCAGGTGGTTGTTTCAAGACAAATAGGATTCTAAAGTATTTTCTTTGCAGAGAAGCCCAGGTACGGGGACAAGATCACCCAAGATTAGAAGAGGTCTGGTGGTCTAGAGTGGGTACCAGCAGCCGGCTCCGCAGGGCTGGGTTTAGATCTCAATGGGGATTGAGACTCACCCACCCCCAGCTTCATTCTTGCCCAGGAAACATGAGGAGAGGAGTTCTAAACAGGAAGTACAAACACAAAGGTTTTTAGGGGCCAGGCAGTCAGTGTAAACAAGTAAGGTGGTCTTGGTTGTAAAACCCCAAATCAAATTCAGCCCTTGGGTTCCAGGATAGACAGCAGTCCATAGTCCTTACTGATTTTTGCTCTAACCCACTGGCCACAGGTTGTGCCAGAATCTAAAGCCAGAAACCGCAGGTGTGTTGGATAGGAGCAGATCAGAAACATAAATGGAAGCGTTTATATGGGGAAAGATGTGATCTAATCATTCCTGGGTACAAAAATAAATACAATTTTAATTTGGATATACACATTTCATCTGGATAAAGATCCCATAAGCACAACAATAATGAAATAAAGCCTCCTTTCTATGACCTTTGAGAAGGTTTTTTGTTTTTGTTTTTGTTTTTGTTTTTGTTTTTTGAGAATGTTCCTCAGGAGTTTTTATTTGCACTGGGGAAATTCCAAAGGTTTTGTAAAAGCCATAATGTGCACATTTTCCCGAGTGAGTGGTCTGGAGGCCCAAGGGCGTGGGTGGAGCCCAGGTGTGCCCATGCTGTGGTGCAGGTTGAGAGAGTAGCTGGGGGTTTGAGGCCTCATTCTACTTCTGACCCTGCCTCCAACTAACTCACAACTTTGGATAAGTCAGTTTATTTTCCTCATCTGTGTGGTCTAAGGCCTTTTTCAGTCCTATGAGTCTATGATCTACATGCCGGTAGGCCTCCGGAATTTTATTGGCTATTGCAAACCTGATGGTCCTAAAGATTCTCTGAGTATTCCTCAAGGTCAGGTTAATTTCTTCCCACTCAGCTGGGTGGCGGAGTGAAAAGAGAGTGGGGGACAAACATAAGTGGGATAATGATAGCAGAAGCAGATTTTATCTTAGCCAGAAGGGTCCAAATTAAAGTCAAGTTTTTATCCTCAGAGAGTCACTGCTGTGAGCTCTGGTCCCAGATTGCTTTTCCACACCTATACATTAGAGGAGCTTAAGAAACCAAATGCTGCATTTAACCTTGGCCTTCTGCGTACCATCCTGCATGGCAGGAAGCAGGATAATCTTTTCCTTTTCTTGTTGTATTGCACATTTTAATAAATAACAGAGGGAGAGAGAGATCAGTGGAAATAGGAGAGAGAAAGCCATCTGGGCTCGTATGAGGAATGAGGGGCATGGTCACCTCCTCAGAGGTGAAGTTGCTCTAGAAATAGTGTAAAATGCATTCTCAACTGTGTGTACTTGCTAATGGAAAGGTCTAGTTACCACTCGGGCATAGTGGGGTAAAACTGCATCGGGATGCCGCCGCTGTCGTACGGTGGGCACAGCCTTCTGATCTTCCTGTTTGAGACGTTTTCCCACTGGCAGACTTAGATTAAGTTCCAAAGTGTGTATGTGATGGGAGAGGGTGGTACATTATCACTTTTTAAAACAAAGAGTCCAGACTCTTGAGAAAGAGTTAGCTCTATGTGACTTTTATCCTCTTCAAAGCAAATGGTTTCCAGTCATGGGTCTGCCCTATAGAAAAGGCCCAGTGTCCTGAGCCAGAGGCCCCTTCCCCAAGAAATTAGCCTTGATCGATTTACCACCATAGTAGTAGTCAAGGCTCTGTGGGTCTAAGTTTTTTCATCTGTAAGTCGAGGGGGTAAAATTAAATACTTTTTAGAACTCTGTCAGTTCTATTTGGAGTTTTGTTTTTTTTTATTTCGGCATATTATGGGGGTACAGATTTTAAGGTTTCAATAAATGCTATTTGGAGTTTTATGTTACAAACCCTAAAACTGTGACCTATGCAGGCATATTCATATAACCCATTGTGGGCCACAGTAAATTCTAACAGGATTCAGATATCTTTATATCTACACAGGGCGGAATCAGTGTAGAATTCACCTAGCCACAACTGAGACTAAGGGGAGGCCATGAAGCTCTTGTTTCAGATGCAGAATTTAAGGGTGC